AAACAGGAATTTTGGTTCTTTAGCCATTTCTGCAGGTAATGTGAGAAATTTTGGACCCATGAAGATCAGAGGGAGAACTCAATTGACTTCTGTTGAATCTTGATTCACCCAACATATTTGATTGTATCAGCTGCAATGGCAGTTCTTATTTTCCTTCAGGAGCATACACTTGATATATGACTTTGGAGAAAGCCACACCAGATTCTACTTGCCTAGTCTAGTTTTCATTCCTGTTCCTTGAAGATGTATTGCTAAGTTCTATAACCTAGCCAATTAGAGTCTACTGATCATGCCATACCCAATCCTACATAAAGTGAAGTCAATAAAAACACTGTAATTAATTCTGGGGTTGTGAAACAACTTAACATAGAGGTACTTACAAACCAAGCAGTGACAGCTTTGAAAAAAAAAAGAATTTGCAGCCCTTCTTTCACAAATTGCACTTCAACCAGAGCTGGGAATATGGTGGCTCATACAGCATTTGGCTTTACTAAATTTCTTTTGCACAAAGGTAGTTGTTTCTTTTTTCAAGCAGTTTTGTTCCCCCTGACTTGGGAAACAGCCACTGACACTGCTTTTGGAGATTAACCAGCCCAGGACATAGCTGTGGGCTGAGGACCATGCACACTTTTTCTACTGCATACACAGGGAACTGTGGTTTAAGCGCTCCATGGAAATTGCAGTAGCTCCGCTCTTGCTGATAGCCAGGAATTTAAAACAAAATGCTATCTGTTGGTAACGAAACTGTTGCAAAATAAAAAATATTTTGCTTATTTGAAGGCTAAATGTTTGCAGTCTCTAACAGTGGTAAATGTGTTTTCCCAGCTGGCTTCCTCTTGTACTCTGACTCACTTTGTTTTGTTACACAGAAGAAGCATTTAAGCCTAGAAGACTCTTTGAAGTTATTTGTCAACTGTCTTGAAAACAGTTGACTTGAAAATGTACTGAAAGATGTTGCATTTTCACCCATAGCTATCAAGTCACTTGTTCTATCAACCAGGGAAATCCCGTGCATTTCTTATCCTAAAAGAATGTGATCAGCTTGAAAGAGCAGCAGGATCTATTTCGTACCAAAATGACACTTATGAGTGGCTTTGAAATCTCTTCTTCATAAGTAGCTCCTGTGATAGCAATGCAAGTTTTTGTCAATTAAGGCCTTACATCCTCTCTGAAAAAGAGTGATAAAAGTTTCATTCTGTATAAATTGCATGCTGTATTTTAGTATAAAATGTAAATGCCTGTAATTTGATTGACTATTTTTTAAGTTAGGGATTATGATCTTTCTGCTTGGAAGTTTAACATTCTAAAATATGACCAGGGATAAAATATTCAGTTGAAAGGTGATGCCCATCTCATTGGACGAACAACTTCTGAACAGACGAGCCCAAGTGACTGCACATGAAAGAAATGTGATGTTAAAATATTCTGCCTGGCTACAGTTCCACTTATGACTGAGCAGGGATGTATTACAGCTGTCTAAAGTTGACTTTTCCAGGTCAAGGCACAGGCATAGACAGCTTTGCTGTGCACACTGTAGGTGGAGGATCCTGTCCCAGCACACTTCTACCTTCTGGTGCAGCACTCATCTTTGTTCACTGGTATAGATCAGAGCCAAAATTGGAGCAGCCATCCTTCCTGCCAAAGCCACACAGTCCTCAGGTAATCTGACAGGTGTGTACTATCAAGCTGAAACGTGGCTCAGTGGATATTTGTTAGCAGTTAGCATGGATGTTCCAGCAGGGGGATTGGACTGGATGATCTTTCGAGGTCCCTTCCAATCCCTGACATTCTGTGATTTTCAGCCTTGTGTTCTGGAGCACTGAATGGCATCTTAAGCAGCAACAGTGGCAGCCATTCATAGAAAGCAGGCGAGACCTCTGATTCCAGGGGGATGCTCAGATGCTCTCACTTTACCCACTGCGCATCCGACAGGCCCAAGTGCAAAGGTTTGTGATGGAGCTCTTCTCCAGACATCTTTGAACCTCAAGCACTGTAGGGGCATTTCAGTCCAGGAAACAAGACTAGCTCTAGTTTCAGGTCAATCTAATAGTTATGGGGCCCTCACATCAGTTGCTTTAATATATTGATCCCTTTCCACTATACCTCATTACTTTATAGTGTAGACACAGCCTATGAGAGATGTCAGTGCTTGAATGCTTACTACCATGTGGAAGCAATAACTGCTGTCTCTCAGAACTGCAATGTTTAATTTGGAAATGAAACAATATAAAACAAGGACGAGAAAAGAGTAGCTGAATGGTTAGAATGAAAAATTACTATGATAAAATGTGAGCAAAGTATATTTAGATTAATAGAAACATGATGTAATGAAATATTATAAATATCATAAAAGTAGTAATTCAGTAGTACTAATATTGAGTTACTATAATGCCATTTAAACAAATTCCTTAGATTGATTCAAGTGAAACATGAGACATATAAAAAGATCTTGTGATTATGTTGGACTACATAAGAATCACCTGAGCCTCATAATTAAAATAATGAAATATTCAGTAGAAGGTCTAAGAAACATTTCTTCACTGCACAAGGTTGCACAAAAAGAAGCAAAGGAACCAGTGAGTTCCACAAATCTGCCTTTGTTGCAGCAGAACGGAGCTACTGCAGGATGAACGCAGAAAATCTTTCCATTTGGCAACTTTGAAAAGAAGATCATGAAAAAATAATAACTGAGAATGAGAAAGCCATGGGAGGAGGCCAGAATGAAAATGCAGCAAGGAGCAGAAGTGAGATGCAGCCAGGTTAATCAGAGCCTCTATCTGTCATTTTTCAAACATGATTTTGTGGCTCATGATCAAATTTGCATCTAAAAAGTGAGAATGTTTCAAAAGCTGTAAATCCTCTTGTGCCTCAGGTGCAATTTTCAGTGCCAATATTTTTTTTTTCCATTTAGAAGTCAAATAGAAATGCCAAAAAAGAGTTGTCTTCAAGCCAGCTAAGTTAGATTTGTTTTCCTTCTCACAGGTGCAAAAATAAACCTTTTTTTTAGTATTAGAAAAAACTTCCAGGCAATCAAAAAACCAAATATCCTATTTCATCCACATATGATTGTAAAAAAGGAAACAAAAACACAAAGGAACAGAAAGTTTAGTTGTTTAAAGTTGGCACTAAGACTATTTCTTCATAACAATAATCAGTCTAGCTTAAATAGGATTCTCAGAAACAAATCCCATTCCACCTCTTAAAACCACACCTTAGGGAAAACATGAATTATCAGTTTGAGACGACACTGGGAATAAGGAACTCTTCAACTCTGGCTTTAAGTTATCCATCAGTTCAGTTTCTTCATTGTACAAAACAGTTATCTCCTTTAGAAAGAAGAAATATTTGTTTACGTTACTGCAGGACAGAAAGAATTCTGGCCTCAGCCCAGCAATCCAGCCTGTCCAGATCCCTCTGTAGGACCTTCCTACTCTCAGGCAGATCAACTTGCTGTCATCTGCAAACCCACAACACATTTCCTCAGCGTCAAGTTGGTGCAGAAAACGTGGGCCTTCATTGTTTGCAGCAGGGAGCCTCCAACTAGTATTATGTCCCCCTGCATGGTTCAGGCTCAGCCATCAGTTGGTTTGCCAGAGAGAACTTCAGGTCCCTCATCTGCTTCTACTCCACTGAAGCGATTCCATAGCTGCCAATCTGCAGGCAGGAAAGCACCCTTCCTCCTGGTGCCATGAGATTCTTGCCTTCCTCATCATGGAAATCTACTTTCAAGCCTGATAAGCACTGACTCTCTTTTTCCCCAGTTCAGTATATATTTCTCCTGAGCCTTCTCAGTGCTAAGCACTCCTAGCTTTCTCATCATCTCTTCAGTAACATCCCTTAATCATCTTCATGGCTACTGGCTGGATTTTCTTGAGTACATCTCCTGAACTGGACCTAGCACTCCAGATGTATCTCACCAATGCTGAGGAGAGGAAAAGATCACTTCTCTCAACCTAATGACAAAGATCTTTCTAAGGCAGCCCAGACTGCTAGCCATTGCTGAGTGATGCTCAACTTCTTGTCCAGCAGGAGCCCCAGCTGTGCCAAGCTGCTTTCCAGTCTGTGGTTCTCCAGCTTGTCATGGTGCAAGGGATTATTTCTCCCTAGAAGCAGGACGTGGTACTTCCCTAATCTAAACTTCATGAATTTTTTCTCTGCCCAACTCTGAAACCTGTAGAGTACCCTTTGAATAGCACCTACCTGGTGTATCAAATGCTCCTTCTCATTTTGTATTCTCTGCAAACTTGCTGAGTTCTACTTTGTTCCATTGTCCAGGTCACTAGAGAAGATGTTAAACAATCAACTCTTGGTTTTCTCAGCCAGTGACTCCTCCAGCTGGACTTTATGATACTCATCACAACATTGTGAGCTTGTCACTTCAGCCAGTTTTCCATTCACCTAATTGTACATTTACATAACCCGTACTTCATCAGTTGTCACTGAGGCTGTTGGGGCAGATAGAGGCTCTAGCAAGGCTTTTGACGAAGTAAACAACATCAACTGCTCTCCCCTCATCCACCAACCAGCCTATCTCATTGCAGAAGGCTTTCAGTTTTGTAAAACACAGTTTCCCCTTCATAAATCCTTGCTGGATACTCCCAACCACCCTCTTGTCCTTCATATGTTTGGAAAAGGCTTCCATTATTAGTTGCTTCATCATCTTCCCAGGAACTGTGAGAAAGCCAACCAGCCAGCAGTTCCCTAAATCCTCCATCCAGTCCTGCTTGAAGACAGGAGTGACACTGACTTTCTGCCAGTCCTTTGGGACCTCTCCCAGTCAGCCACAAAGCTATTGCTTGTCCAGTTTTTGTACAGGTACCCTGAAGGATCCATGACTGCTTCCTAAGTAGCGTGACTATACGATAAATACAAACGAATGCTCATTTGGTATCACTTCACCTGACTTTAATAACTGTTGCAAGTGGGAGTTCAGTGACAGGTTATTTTAGGTTCCAGGCAGCCTCTATGATAGCTCTTACATAAATAGAGACATTGCAGGCTTATTTATGTTAAACTTTTATTAAGTTGAGTTGATAACTGAATCACAAACTCTTGGCCCAGGAATTGCTGAGCTCAATGCATGTTAAGAAAAGTTAAGGCATTTCCTCAACTACGTTATGATCTTCTGCTGGAATTTAGAATCACTCTGCAACAGAGAAAACTATAAAAATGTCAAATTTCATAGTAGCACATTCTCATTCTTGTCATCAGAAACATTTTGTAGTTTTTTTAATTGTAATATTTTCATCACTGACTGAAATAGGATCAGATTTGAGTACTAACTACAACGTCAGATAAAAAAGCAGCAGGAACATATGGATAAAACAGCTATAAGGAGAAAGTAAGCCCCTACCCAAACAAAACTTGTTTAAAATCTTATAAATACAGACCTAAATTTCCACAGACAGCTGGCCATTTTAAAGTTTCATTTGACACATCCAAACAGATTCACGTTTTCAAAAAAATCAAGACCCTTGTAAGGATAGATGTGACATCACAGAGCGAGCCCCCCAAGAGCCAGCCACATTTAGGGAAAGGCAGTAAAAGGAAGAAGCAAAAATAAGTGCATTAACTTCAGTAAATTCAGCAACATGGGTCTAATTTCTTCCTTTCCCTTTATTCTCTTCTACTTATTTCTCCTACATAATTCTTCTTCATTTCTTTATTTTTATTTCTATTCCTGTATTGCTGAACTGTGTTTTCCTCTCCAATTCCCTTCAGGAATTCCTAACTTTCTGTTCTCTGTCTTCTCTTTCACTCCCCTTGTCTGTGCTTCTCCTTTATCCTTTGCCTGGTGCCTCTCCTTCAGTTGCTGAACACAGTAAGTTCATCTTCTCTTGGAAAAAGGAAATCTCTCCTTTTTCATCTAACTTCATAGACATTCCACCTCTCAATTATATATAATCACACTTTTTTTTTCCCTGCTCCTTACACAGAAAAAAATGTGTGAATGGAAGCAGTTTGATATAGGAACTGAAGTCAGATTGCTTCCAGTTTTTCCTTGTTTCTATCTCTTCTGTCCTTCCTCTCATGTTATCTGCCTATTCTGCTTCAAAACAGGCAGAAAAGCTAGTGAGGAGAAGCATCACTGCTCCTAGAAGCAGCCCTTAGGACAAAGAGCATCTACATTCCCAAAAGAAAACCAACAAATCCCATACATTTCAGCACCAAAATAAATTTGAATAGCCTGTCTTGTTTTAAATCTGTGCTTTTCTCACAGATGAGAAAGGATAGAAATGAGATATAAGATATGCAGTTTAGTGAAACGTCAATCAACTTCAAAAAGAAACATTAACTGACAACTTTGAAGTGAGTTGTTATAGGCAAAGATTCTTATTGTTGACTCTTACTTTTCATTCCTACATGCCTTGAGTAGAACTGAGGTTGTAAAAGTAAGCCATTTCTGTTCTGCGATGCTGGCTGCAGGCCTCCGATGGAGAAATTCTTTTTCACACTCCAAATTCCTTTCAGAGCTGCTGTTAATAATTAGTCAAAATAATACTGTTACAACTGATTATTTAAACTTGTTCTAAAACTGGTGGAACATTTAAAGGATAATCCCTTTGTTCAGTCCTGTAATTAGACATTGGTAGGACAGCACCAAAAGCATCCTCCACAGTTAATGGAAAAGAGTGACTGACATCTTCAGAGAGCAACTTTGTAATGTCCATTCATGTGATCAAACTGTAATCTTCCAGACAATTGTGATCCAGTGGCAGATGAATGTAGTGCAGTGTTGGTATGTTAAGCTCTCACTAACATGAGACACGAGAGTGAACTGAGCAGACTAATGATAGCATCTGCAACTCAGCCACTTGCCCAGATCCCCTTTACCATCAGTGGGAAGAGAGCACATACAGAGAAGGACTAATGCAAAGACAGTCAGAACTGTGCTTTCAAAGTGCCTTTTTTTCCTCCATTTTTAATATAAACAGAATTTACATAAGTAGTTCATCTGCCAGTGTGTGCTGTAATTGCCTAAGGAGTCTAATCACAGTCATGCAGTTGCAGGTTCAAATAATTTAAATCTGGATACTGACTACATCACCCAACTTTTGTACATTTTTGTCTGTGAATCCAATTGTTTGACACTCATTTTGAGTAAATTTACTTTTGGGTTCTAATCCTAAACAGGAGAACACAAAGACCTTTTCCAAACTTGTCTAGATTTGGAAATAAAGGGAAAATTTAAGGCTTTGCTACATTTGTGGAAGATGTAAATATTAAGAAAGATTGTGGTGGACCTATTTCAACAAAATGTAGCTTAACATAACCAAGGAATAGTTTTACACTGTGGGACAGAATGCAGGGCTACAGAACAAGAACCACATGTTGTGGGGGAAAAGTATTGTGGATTTAGGAGTACCAGTTGACCAGCAGCCCAACACCCTCGTGCTAATGTTAGCTTTAGGTGTCAGCAGACGTAAGTTAAATGAAGTAGATCGTTCTCTGTACAGACTGCTAATGATACAAACACTGAAACACCTTTTTAATTGTTTCTTATCTAGAGCAAACACCTTGTTCCTTTTCAGACTTACATTTCCTCATTTTCTACTGTATTCAAGTCTGTCTATAACCTTCAAGCTGCCTAAACAGACTGACTCTCTGATTGCTTTGTTTTCCTCTTTTTCCTTTTGCTCATTTTTACCTCAACTTCTTCAACACCAACTTCAAATTCTGAGAAGCAGAAGGTAGACAATGAATTCAAGTAGCTACAACACCTCCTTCAAAGGAAAGAAGTAATAAAATCTCACTTCTTTCAAAAAAAGAAGTACCAAAACCTCTCTACCACTTGGTATTTTTCTGTTTTATTAAGCTGATAGATCACATGGAATTATGTGTTCTCTAAGTCTCATAATTTCATGCTAAAAAAACTAGATGATGTATAATTCTTCTGTTTCTGAATTTTCTCTAGACTAGTACATAAGTGTTCTAGACTGACTTTTTGTTTAGTTTGGTTTTTAAGTAAGTAATTTTGCTACAGTTCCTCAAAACATTTTCTGTTTCATTTGCCCTGACAAACACTTTCCATTTGCTCATAGGGAGGATTACCTGCAGCTGGATGCCTAATGTGGCATTCTTCTTTCCAAAAACAGAGCTCTTCTTCAAGGATCTCTTTAACTCTCTTACACGGCTCAACGTACAGAATGTTCTTCCCTGTTAGCAAAACACATCACACAAGAACCGGTCATTTTAACTTCCCTGATGCTGGTGTGTTTTAAAGCATGTAATTTCATTTTATCCCATTCTTCTTGCTTTAATGCACTTTAAGGCAGATTTACAGACACGACAGTGTTCAGCTACAGGGCTCTGCACCATGGGATGCTGCAGCCAAGGCAACCCTGTGCTCTGGGGAGCTGTGGCGATGGAGTCCCTCCATGGTGAACAACCCAAGGTGGAGCTGAGGGCGGGCAGATCAGGTCTCGTAGCCCACGGCAGCGGGCACTGCCCCCCGAAAGAGGGCAACCCGACGCCAGGCGGCCCAGGGAGGGATGCGCCAACTCCCCTCCCCATCCTCCCCTCCCTCCAGGGCTTTCTGGAGCGCTCAGGAGGAGCCCAGCGCCCAGGGGACGGGGGAGCCGGGAGGAGCGGGCGGGGCAGGGCGACTGGAGGGGACGGGGCGCTCACGGGGCTGCCCGCCTCCCGCCGTCTCGCTGCGGCCATCGCTGTCCGCCTCCTCGGCCGCCCCCGCCGGCTGCTGGCTGTTGGCCGCCCTCATGGCCGCCGCGCCCGGCGGGTAGGAAGCGCGTGTGGCGGTTGCCGAGGGAGCGGGCGCGTTCTGCTCAGGCGGGCTGCGCTCGGGCGGCGGCTGCACATCGCCATCTTGTGGCTGTGCTGCGGGCAGGCGCAGCCATAGAACGACACAACATCCCGAGTTGGAAGGGACGCGTAAGGATCTTCCAGACTGAATGCCGGCACCACACAGGACCATCCAAAAGTCAGAGCGTGCTCTGAGAGCGTTATCCAGATGCTTCTCGAACTCTGGCAAGCTCGGTGCCATGACCAGTGCGCTGGAGAGGCTGTTCCTGCGCATGACCACCCTCTGGTGAAGAACCTTTTCGACATTCCGGCACGACCCTCCTCTGATGCAGCTTCCTGCCATCCTCTTGGGTTCTGTTGTTGGTCGCCAGAGAGAGCTGAGCACTGCCCTCCGCTCCCTGTGAGGAGCTGCAGCCGCCATCAGGCCTCCCCTCAGCTGCTCTGCTCTGAGCTGAGCACACCGCCAGCCACCCCTCATAGGTCTTCCTCTGTAGACCCTTCACCATCTTCGTGAACCACCACCTTCACCTCCTTTGCAAACTCTCTAACAGTTTTATGTCCTTCTTGTTCTGTGGCGCTCAAAACTGCACGCAGTCGTGTTAGGAGGCTGGCTGGCTCCAAGAGAGACAGGGTGATGATCCCTCAGGGATGTTCCATCAGAGGACCAAATGCACACTAATATAGAATCATTCCAGTTAGAAAAGACCTCTAAGATCATCAAGTTGAACCGTCAGCCCACCCCACCATGCCCATTCACCATGTCCCTCCATACCACATGTCCACATTTCTGCAGCACCTCCAGGGAAAGTGACTGCCCCACCTCCCTACTCTTTCTGTTCACTCTTTCTAAGAAGAAATTGTTCCTAATACCCATTTTTTTCCTAGTATCAACATATATAATACATAATATATATATGTACATGTATATATATATATACACACACATATACACATATAAACCACTGCATTTCTAACTTGCATTATTGTAGAGAAAAACTGCGCTTAAGTGCACGCTAATGGTCTTAAACAAACCACGTTCACTTTGGTTAAATCATGGCAGTAAGACCTCTGTCAGACCTGGAAGCCCAGTTCAGATGTGGCAGATTAGATTTGGCTACCAAGAACTAGCCATCAGGTACTACAGGACTTTGGTTGTTCCTAAGAATAGTTCATTTGATTTATGAACAGGCAATTTCATTGGCTACTGAGCTTTCAATTAAAGATATGACAATAAAATATTTAGGGTTAAGTGTTTTATTTTATAATAGGCCTTATACCAGATCACTAAGCATTTTGAAAATCACCCAAGTAAATTATATCCATTCAGAGCTTCCATGCAGTTTTAAAAAAGTTCCTCAAAAATAATTTTCTAGTGAGCTGTAATAAACTGCATAACCCAACCTGAATTTCACGTAACATACGTAGTCCAGTTTTCCCTCCTGTTCTGACATTAATGTTTTGGACCAAACATCCCTCCAAATTTGCACTTACTGAGCACAGAATCACTGAAATTACGGAATTCATTAAAGCTTTCTGAATACCCTGATAACAGTAATGGCACTTCAAAGTATGAGGGAAAGCACTGAGTTGAATTGCAGAAGGTGAGATTTTCACTGATAAGAATATTTCAGTATCTTAAATGACAACCTTGATGCAAAGGGACAGACCAAGCACACAGATGCTGTGTGACAAACAAGAGGCAGTAAAACTCACATTCACAGCGTTTAAGGGGACACAGCATTTATGCAGTCTTCTACTATTTCAAAAAGGTAGTGGTATATATCGGTCCTCCTAGCAATGTCAAGGGCAGTTTCATCCAAGTTATTTTTCAGGTCTGCTTTTATGTAGCGATTCATCAGCAGAAGTTCAAGGGTTTCCCTACTGTTTTTGTTTCCTGCAGCAATATGTAAAGGTGTCAACAACCCATTTGTCTGAGCGTTGATGTCTGCACCCTGCTGAAGTAAGAATGCGGCCACTTCTGTATTGTTCCACTTGCATGCACTGTGCAGGGGCGTCCACCCATCCACTGTTTGTGCGTGAATATCTGCCCCATGGGCAACCAACTCCCGGGCCATGTCCAAGTGCCCACTGTAGGAAGCTCGATGGAGAGGAGTGTATTGATCTTCATCACGAGCGTTAACGGGAGCCAGCTTTTCGGAAAGAAGCCTCCTCACTGTAGTCAGCTGTTGAAGGGAAACAGGGAATGTAATACGAACCTTTGTAAAAAAGACACACCATTTCTATTGTTCTAAAAATGCTTTTTTTTTTTTTTCCCCCAAAGAAAAAGCAGTTTCTGTCCATCTCACAAAAGACTATGTGTGATAGAAAATTTTAAGATGAAACCAGTTATTATTACTTGAAATAGAGACACAACAGTCTAGCATAAAAACACAACTGCAATTCACTTCACTCAGTGTGGGGCATTAAGCTGCAGCACCTCAAGGACTACTTTTGCCTCTGAAGAAACATGTGCCTCCACACAACTATAAGTGCCTTTTGTGTACATTTATTTTCAGTGGCAGCCTTTGTTATAAACACAAGGATGTAACAAGCTGCCTAACAAGAACCTTCATCTTCTCACTCCATTTTCCAAGAACAGAAAGCTTTTTTTATTAACAAGATTGGGGGAAAAAAAAAAAAAAGGTAGGATTGGATTTGATCCTTATGGATCCCTTCCTGTCTCAGCATATGTAGATTTGAAGAACATAAAGCTTCAGATACACCCTCTCCACTCCAGTTAAAATGCTCACATACCATGAAGAGTCTGGCACACTTTTAAGTTGATCCAAGTTTAAGAACAGTGCTCATATTTCAACTCTGATCTACAGTCAAAGTTTTTCTTCTGAAATCTAATTGGCCAAGAAATATTGTAGTGTGTGGAACACAAAGGCAGATGCTTTCCAGAGCAGCTTGTGAAACCTCGGTCAAAATAGCTGGGAGGGATAAAGAGTAGCATAGAGAAGTTTCTGCTTGTGGATGGAACTGCAGACATCTATTCAATACAGCCTTTTTGTTAGAGATACACAGAACAGATGCCTTACCCGATTGTTTTCAGCTGCCCACAGTATTAATTTCTCTGGATTTTTCTCCATTTTTTTTTCTTGCATCTCATACCATTCCTCACTTCTTTCTTGTTCATCATCTTCATCATCAGACTGCCCCGACCAACCGCTCTGAGTTCCTATAGGAATCAAATGCCGGTGCGTTTCCAGCAGCTCGAGTTGGTTAAAGCTCTCTGTAAACTCCGCAAACTCATCGCTGTCATCATCCCTCTCATCAGCATCCTTCTCAGCAGCACGTTTGCCTTTGCTCATTTTCGGTTGGCATCTGTAAGGCGTGGATACACAGCAGTATTTGAATTAAGTGTTGCACACACTGTCAGTGGAAAGAGGCCCAGTGAAGCACAGGCCTCGCTCCCCTGCACTCCGCAGCACCCCGCTGCCAGCACGGGCAGCACCCGAAGGTGGTGTCGGTACCCTCCGCTTTCCCAGCCCTATTAACAAGCCTTACGGGCCTCCCATCCACTCTCTCCCCTGTCCAACCCCGCTTAGCTTTGCTCCCGCCCCACGAGGCAGCAAACTCACGCACCGATGACCGGGAACGCCGCTCCAGAGGCGGGGCTTTTCCTGCGGGGCGGTGCTGCCGCCGGGGCGCGCCCATTCACCTGCACATTGAGCCCTTCCGGCCCGTCGCTCCCGGCGGAAGTGACGTAAGTACCACGGCGGGAGTGAACGCCCGACTGACCAATCGCGCAGCTCGGCGGGAGAGACGGCGAACGAGAGCGCGCTGCGAGCGGGCGGATCTCGCGAGAACGGCGCGGCGCTCGGCCGGGTGCTATAGAAACGGCGTGAGGTGGCCGCGGGGCGTGAGGGCCGGGCCCTGGGGGCTGTGGGGGCGTTCTGTTGGCCGGGCGGGGCCGGCTTCGGGGGCAGCGCCGCTTTCACGGTGTGAGGGGGTGGGCTGCGCTTGGTCGGAAGTGGCTGAAGTAGGTTCAGAGCTTGCTTGATCAGTGCCCGAGAGTGTTTGTAAGTGGTCCTTAATAAAAGTCTGAGTGGTTGTCGGCTCCGCTCGCTGTGCCCTTCGTTCTGATTCGTTTGTGTTCTTATCTCTTAGGCACTGATGCGTCTGTGACACCAGGAACCGGTTCTCTGCCCTCTGTGGCTGTGCTTGGAGCCTTTTTCTGAGGAATCCTAGCAGGAAGATGAGTGCCGTCGGCTTGCAGTAAGCTCTGTCTGCTGTAGCACGATGCAATTCTGCCATACCAGACAGCAAACCTTCGGTGCATTTGAAAGGAGCTAAGTGCTCAGAACTGTGCTTGTTCTTATGCAGGGTCTTTCCTTTGTGTGTTTGTGGATTCCCAAAACAAACAAACACAGAACGTTTATTTGCAGAGTTTTTCAAAGGCTGAAAGCACACAGAGCACCCTTTAGTTTTTCATCAGGTGTTTGCAGCCATTTTCTGAACTAAACTGATCAGGATAACCTAATTGTGAAACTGGTTTGTTTGGTCATAGAGTCATAGAATATCCTAAATTGGGAAGGGACCCATAAAGACCATCAAGTCCAACTCCTGGCTCCACACAGGACCACCCAAAAATCAGACCCTATGTCTGAGAGCATTGTCCAAATGCTCCTTGAACTCTGGCAGTTTGGGGTTGTGCCCCTCTGCCCTAGGTCTGTTCCAGGGCCTGACCAAGATCAAGTGCCACTTGCAAGTAAAGCAGTGAAACGTTTTGAGAGTATTACAGGAAAAGTACAGTGGTAAGGATTTTATAATAGATCTACTGTGTATTTAATGACTGTATACCAAACAAGTTACTTTAATAAGGCCTGTATTGAAATTTTCCTGGTTTATTTAGGGATGATGAAGATACCTTCAAGATACTGATTGCTACTGATATTCATCTTGGCTATTTGGAGAAGGACCCAGTGCGTGGCAATGACACATTTGTAACTTTTAATGAAATTTTGGAGCATGCTCAAAAAAATGAAGTAAGTATTACTTTCTGGAAAGTAAAGGAGATTAGAAAATCCATTCCAACCTGGTAGAAGCTATGTAGCTTAGTCTTGTAATCTTTTGTAATATTAAACTAAGCATTAATTTATTACAATCAGCTACATTTTTCCCTTAGTGAAAGAAATGCAAATATCTTTATGAGAGCATTCTTCTTAAATTATGACCTTGGATGTGTGATCGGTATTTTCAGTGCACTTGCACCACTTCCAGGGATATTTAGAGAGGCTTTATGCTGCAAGAATGGAAAATCACTGGGAGAGAAGAGGTACTGGGGGGATGAAAGGATAGAGCACAGCCTTACCAGAACCTGGAGACTTGGGGGTACTGGTGGGTGGCAGCTGAGCATGAGCCAGCAGTGTGCCCTCGTAACCCAGAGAGCCAGCTGTACCCTGGGCTGCATCCAGAGCAGTGTGGCCAGCAGGGTGAGGGAGGTGATCTTATCCTCTGCTCTGCGCTGCTGAGGCCTCACCTGGAGCACTGCCAGTCCAGATTCAAAATAATTTACTTAGTTTACTTATTCTGTAGTTAATTGGTTCATGAATATCTGCAACTACAGACTTGTTTTAAATAGGGGTCCAGGTATGAAGTATGTGGGAGTACTTAGAAGAAGTAATTTAATGAGTTTGCTTACAGGCTCTTAAGGTAATACAAAGTGCTGTATTGAATTAATGGAGCTCTTTGTTATATACAGGTGGACTTTGTTTTATTAGGTGGGGACCTCTTTCATGAAAACAAACCTTCCAGAAAAACAATACATACTTGTTTGGAGTCACTAAGAAAATACTGCATGGGGGATCGTCCTGTTCACTTTGAAGTTCTGAGTGATCAGGCAGTTAATTTTCAGTTCAGCAAGTAAGTCTGTTTCTTACAAGTTACGGTGTCATGTGTTTGTTTTTCATATTGGATGAACGTGTTGTGATTTTTATTTATTTATTCTTAAGTGCTGTATATCACAGAATGGCCTGGGTTGAGAAGGCCCATGATGATCATCACGTTCCAACCCCCCTGCTGTGTGCAGGGTCACCAACCACCAGACCAGGCTGCCCAGAGCCACATCCAGCCTGGCCTTGAATGCCTGCAGGCATGGGGCATCCACAGCCTCCTTGGGCAGCCTGTTCCTCTGTGACTGCCACCTTGAAGTGTTAGGCCTGTTTGTATGGGACAGTTTATAGCATCACCTCATCTATCACCTTCTATTAAGTCTGTAAAGGACCATTTATTGAGAAACCTCTGGAGATGTTTTAACAGTTGATAGATTGAAGTAATAAATAGGCTGTGTCTTACAAGTAAACCAACTTAAATGAATTACTGTGCTAAAATAAATGGTCTTTTGCGTGTAAAGGTTGCACAGTCTTCTGCTTTCGTATATTAGCTCTTTATTAATGATAAAAATATTTTTGCTACCATGCTCCCATTAGGAACTTCCAGACTGTGAATAAGAATCTTCTTCTGATGTGGAGCTTAAGTTTAATCCCAGCCACTTGGTATCATTTGTGCTGCTGTCGCGTATTTCTGATGACAATTTGAAGAAAATGTTGGGAATTTTTTGTTCACAAATTTGTCATTATATTATAACTTGTTTTCCTCTATTTGTTCAGGTTTCCATGGGTGAACTACCAGGATGAAAACCTCAACATTTCTATGCCAATTTTTAGTATTCATGGCAATCATGATGATCCCACAGGGGTAATTATTATTGTAATTATGCTACTATGTTACAAAAATAGTACTGTAGGATGGACTTGTATAAAAATACAATTCTTTAGGAACAGGCTTGTTTG